TTCTTAGGAATGTCTAAATTCAGTTAAACTAGCAATTCCGTATTATATTTATAAATCTTTATAACATTATACAAAAATTAGATTTTTCTTAAAAATTGAAATTTTGCCGGGAATGGGGCTTTAATGTTTCGTACCCACATTCGGTACAACATGACACATAGCTCTCCATGGTTTTACCTAACGTATCGTAACAACCAACGATTTTGTCTATCCTATCTTTTCTCACTTCCATGCCCATGCATCTTAATGCATTGCCACACATCTCACTCTATTTCCTTTGCCTCTGGGTCTCTCTATAGCATTAAAAAATCATAGTATTATTGACTGTTAAACGTTCCTATTCTTACCTACTGATCTGATTTTCTGGTCAGTTTGGTAGGTCGGTGTGAATGCATTTTTCTGTACTATGGCTTACAGTTATTCGAATTACGCTTTTCGCTTACATTCTAACAAAATTTACAAAATAAAACTATAAATTATAGGAACTACTGCATAAACACGTTTAATAAAATGAATACTAAGCTTCCGTAGGTAGCATTGTCAAAACATAATTAAGCCTGTGGATTTACACGCTATTCGTTTCTTACAATTATTAACAAACATTACAGGTTATACAAGTACAACTAATACATTGATAATTAATGGAATAAGGTTAGGGCATTGTGGAGGCACAGAATATCAGGAAAATGAAATAATGTATACCCCTCTTTAACTAAGTAAACTAGCCATTTCAAAATATTCTTGTGGTCATTCCACTTAAGGCCAATATTTATTTGAAAACTATAAGGAACAAGTATGCTGTACTTTAAACTATATGTTTTTTCTGTTGTTAGTCCATATCGTATACCATAAATCCGGAAAATATGAAAGGAATGGTAGTGTCACCATACACTTTCTTTTTTTCGTTTGTGAGCCATACTTGATCGCCAACATTGAGTAGAAGTGTTACTCCAGAGCTATAATGCTCATAACCTGTGGCGCCAGTACGAATATATATGATTTCATTCCCATTCAACCTAATTTTAACATATGGAGAAACTCCATTATACGACTCAAAACTTAACATAAAGTAATACACTCCAGAAACACTACATGTAAACCTTCCGTTAGTTTTGTTAAAGTCCTCTCCAATATTAAATTTCATCGATGTGAAAGAGATGGCTGATTCTGTTTCCTGAATAGAAGTCGTGCGCAACGCAGTAAACGCAGATTTACGGACAAATCCTGGCTCGCCCTTTGATCCACTATTTCCTTTAACACCTAATTGTCCGACTGGACCTTGTTTGCCAGGAGATCCTTCACTTCCTTTATCACCTTTTAGACCATTATTTCCAGGTTCTCCTTTTTTGCCTAAAGCTCCTGTTTCACCTCTGTCACCCCTATTACCAGGTGCACCAGCCTGACCACCCCCTCCAGGTGTTCCGGGAACTCCCGGAAAGCCGTTTTGCCCAGATGGCCCTTGACAGCACATATTACAGGTATAGGGTACATCTTTAGCCGTCGGGGTTGTTGTAGATAATATTGTTGGTAGCCATGGTAGACTTAGCAGGCTGACCATAAGTGAACATGTCAATGACGGTTTCATTCTTCTGAATAAAAAGAGAAGATTTTGTTAATTGACTGTACTCGTTACAGTTCAACATAACCATGATTTTGTAAATTAAAATAACAACATTCTACCCATAACTCAAGTTTTCATAGGCCTATCCTTTATATTTATAGTCTACTGAAGCTTAAAGTGACCTTTCAGATGTTCTTGATCATTTTTTTTCTAAAGATGTACACATGAAGCGATCCAGGATCTCGTCATCTAATCATCTCTTCTAAAGGATGTACACATGACGAGATCCAGGATCATGTCATCTATTCATCTCTACTAAAGGATGTATACATGACGAGATCCATAATCTCGTCATCTAAACATCTCATCTAAATTATGTACATGACCAGATCCAAGATCGCGTCATCTATTCATCTTATTTTTCACTCAATCACCAAGCGCATAGAGGCTTTTTTTGGCCTGATGCACTATAAATGTCCCAAATATTATTCCTATTTTATTATTAACTTCTCTCTATCAAAGGTGGTATCATACAATTCCCGGTCACATTCTCTCATACAAGTGACTAAAACGTTCACACATCTGAGTGGAGCTAGCTATATAAGGTAGAAAAGCTTATAGGTCTCAGCTTAAAAATCATGATAATTTAATAATATCCAAATTAGATTCTTAATTAATTTGTTTAAAGAGCCAAATACTGTATTTAAGTTGAGCTCACTGACCAAAGATAATATCTGAGTCATAACGTAACTCGTTATAATGTTTTCGGTAATTTCATATTTTACTTTTAAAATGGGCTACACAACAAAGGGTGCTGCAAATATTAATATTCTGTAACTTTAAGTAAAAATACCAATACCGTACTCGCGCGAATAAGCGACCCGTTTGAATAATCGCCCCTCCTGACGTGAAAATTTCCTTAATTGCCCCGTTTGAATAAGCGCCAATAATATAAGATTTTCTTTTTAGCAAGTCAATAATCCAATCAATCCTGGGAATGTGGTTGTTGACATGATCTGAGCTGCAAAGTGGAAACACATTCTTCAATAGTTCAATATCAAAATGAGGATATTTCTCTTGGACAGATAGTATATTTCTAACTTTACTCTTTTTACATAATTTGTCTATGCCTAGTCCTACTCCTCTTTCTCTTTTTCCGACCTTTAGCACATTCTTATTTGAGTTTTCAAGAAAAAAAATACAATGGTCCTGCCATCCTGCTAATCTCAATCGGCCGATGACCAACAACCTAACCACTACCCAACACCACTAATTGCATCTGCTATTTTGCTGTTATGATGTAAATATTCACGCATTCTTGTCATGAGCTATGTTCTCTGGACGAATATCTTTTCCGCCTAACCACCATTCATAACGTCCTTATATAATCATTTTTCATTCAAAAAGTACCTCTTGAATTTAGTAATCTCCCATAAGGACCCCTCGATTTTCATTTATTTCCATAAGCGCCACCTCAATTTCCGCTCTGCTTTCATAAGTGAATTAGGCGCCTCTCAGAAAGTGTAAAAAATATTTTAAGCGTCCGGGCGCTTATTCGCGCGAGTACGGTAGGCCTATTCTGTTTACACTATAGTTTTGTAAAAAGAGCTAAAGGATGTACACTTGGCGAGATCCAGGATCTCGTCATCTAATCATCTCTTCGAAAGGATGTACACTTGGCGAGAATCAGGATCGCGTCCTCTAATTATCTCTTCTAAAGGATGTACACATGACGAGATCCATGATTTTGTCATCTAATCATATCTTCTAAGGATGTACACATCTAATCATCTCTTCTAAAGGATGTAGACATGACGAGATCATTTTCTAGACATCTGGATGGCACCTTTAAGCTTCCGTAAAAGTCAGAAGACTGGTCGGAAGGCCAAAAACAACATACAAAGTAACAATGAATAAAGAAATTAGAAGAATAAACACTAATGTAGTACTGTATTGATAAAATAATGACAGACCATACTGTACGATCACTGAAAGAGCGACTATCGTACGCAATACCCATAACGAAACATCTACCCAAGGCGAAACAGTGAAGCAGATGGTGATAATTGTGGTATCTACGGAAGTTGAGTTGACCTTTTGACCTGTGATTGAATATCATTAAAGTTAGTTGTTAGAGTACCTTACCACCATGTGTGAGTCGTTGATTGTGCTCCTGTGTTTAATCCGTTATTTAGTGGTTCAATCCGTATACAATACACTACAAATTGGCGACGAGGATGGGATTGATTGGATGCCTTTCTCGAATTATCGCTTCGTTCGCTCTCCTCATATCGATACATAGACGAATGTCATTTTCTCCTTTAGGTACCACAACTACAGGTGACACCCATGGTGTAGGGCCATCAGCCTTTTCAATCACATCCAATTTTTCTAATTCATCAAGTTTATTTTCTAATTTTTCTCGTAAATTGAATGGAATTCTTCTCAGTGACTGGGCTACTGGAGACACTGTTTCATCAATGGGAATCTCTAACTGAAAATCTTTCAATTTTCCTATTCCTTCGAAACATAATGATGTACTTATGAAACACTTCTTGAATAATATTGACCTTCTCCTGTATTACATTGATACTTGCATTAAAGGCCAACTCAGACAGCGTCGGCCGACGCAGCCCGACCCGATTTATCGTCGGGGACAGTCTTAAGCCGTCGTGAGAAATATTAAGCACGTTTAATATTCTACTACGCGACTGCCCCCGACGCACACCATCGCGTCTGCGTTCAACTCACACAGACCCGACGCGACAACAAATCGCGTCTGGCTGCGTCGTACGACGCTGTCTGAGTTGTCCTTCCGGCCTGTCTTCAAAACTCCTAGTTGTGTAGCGGTTTTTCTTCCTAACAATGAGGGACCCTTGCCTTTAATGACCATCACTTCGGCCTCAACAATGTTACTGTTCTCAACTGACATATTTGTAGTGAAAGTGCCTATCACTTCAATTGGGTCTGTACTTCCGTATGGATACAAATTCTTATTAACTTTAGTTGAAGCACACACTATCTTCTTAGCCTTTAGTTCTTCCCATAGCTGTTTATCTACAACATTACAACTCGCTCCTGAGTCTATTATCATTGGAATACAAATACCACCCATAGTCACATTCACTTTGGTGTGATAGTCATCTTCTGTAAGTGAGAATGCATAATCAGTGCTTGGTGTACTTACATTATCTTCTTCACTCATCATGTGAATTTTCGATTTATGTTTATTTCCTACAAAACCTCTTCCTGTGTTTCGTTTTGGTGTAGAACTTTTTGTTTTACAACATCTCGCTAGATGCCCTATATTGTGACACTTATAACACTCTTTAACTTTTGATGGGCAGTCAGCTTGCAAATGCCAATGTTTACCACATCGATAACAATTTCGCTCAGAGTCTGATTTACGCTTAGAATGCGCGTCCTTATCATGCGAGCGCCTTCTTCACATGTATTTGTATGGAACTGATTTTACATTGTTGACAGACCATAAGCCCCTGGAGTGCATATATTCAACTAAGTCTACGGGTAGAGCAAGTGCAAGGATTCATCGATGGGTTCTAAGACTTCAGTCATATAAGTTCAAAGTAAAGTACATCGCTGGGAAGGACAACATAGCGGACAGTCTATCACGACTTCTTTGTATAAAGCTAGATAACTTGCAGAGTCAGCCTACCAATGAAAGCGAGAAGTACATTAGATTTGTAGCTTTGAACGCAACTCCAAACGCTCTTACAACCAAAGAAATTGAGAGAGCTTCAGCGGATGATGAGGAGATTTCTGAGATTAGAGAGTGTATTTTGTATAATCAGTGGCATAAACTGTCAAATAAGAAATTGTTAGCTATCAAGGATGAACTTACATGTATATGTTAGTGTTACGAGGAACACGAATCCTAATTCTGCAAAGCCTTCGAGGAAATATTTTAGAGTTAGCACATGAAGGACATCCTGGCATAGTATCCACGAAAAGAAACTTGCGAACAAAAGTGTGGTGGCCTGGCGTAGATAAAGATGCAGAAAAATTCTGTAAAACATGTCACTCATGCCAGATTGTAGGTAATCCAGAAAAGCCTGAGCCAATAAAACCAACAGATATTCCAACTGCACCTTGGCAACATATTTCTGCAGACCTGATGTTGTTGCCAACAGGAGATTACTTGTTTGTAGTTGTGGACTATTATAGTCGTTACTTTGAAGTAGATACGCTTAGGTTGACAACAGCAGATAAAATTGTGAAAAGTCTAAGAAAAATGTTTCTAACACATGGACTACCAATAAGCAATAAGACAGATAATGGACCACAATTTATCAGTGCAGTATTTAAAGAGTATTTAGAGAGTCAGGGCATAAGCCATAGAAGAGTGACACCTCTCTGGCCCCAAGCAAACGGTGAAGTGGAAAGACAAAATCGCACACTTCTCAAACGAGTAAGAATTGCGCAAGCTGAAAAACGCAACTGGCGAGCGGAAATTGATAAATTCTTGATAATGTATCGCACAACACCTCACAGCGTAACAGGTGTAAGCCCCGCAGAACTGATGTTTAAGCGGAAACTTCGAACCAAAATTCCCGGAATCCAAGATCACGTTGGAGAAGAGGATTTGGAAGTGAGCGATCGAGATCGCGAAGTTAAAGGTAAAATGAAGATGTACGCAGACGTGAAAAGAAACGCACGTGAGTGTAATATTGTACCAGGAGACATGGTATTGTTGAAACGAGACCGAAAAGATAAATTGACCCCTACATTTCACAGCGAACCATTTAGAGTTGTGGAAAGAACGGGAAACGCGGTTACTGTATCGCCGTAATATTATACATGTGAAATCATACCAACAGAGGGACATAGAACACAATGATCATGTACAGAATACAGAAATTCCCACAGCACTAGATTATTTCGACAGCGAAGAGCAACCCGCAACAAATAACACTGATCAGCAAGAAGTCATACCAGAACAATCAAACTTGACTTCTCGCCCTATTCGCGAAAAGAGATTGCCTGTTAGATTCAAGGACTATGAACTTTATTAAATATATTAGTTTGGTGTTCATGTTTGCAATGGAAATGAAGAAATTTCATGTTGAAGTGTTCATGCATGCTTGAAATGTGTTTTAATAAAGTTTTAATGACTAACTTAATCGTTAACGCACAGTAATCGTAGCTGCTTTAATTAATCGTATGCATGTTGATGTTTTGATCAGAAAAACAAAATAGATTTAGATAATGATTTAGATTAAAATTAAAGTGTTTAGTAATTATTAGATTGATCATAGGAAAAAAAAATAATGGAAGTTGCATGTTGTAAATTCGAATACTTATAAACTGGATAGAAAAGAAAATTTTTATTTTAAAAGGCAAAAGAGATTAAGTTTAAAAGAGGAAAGTTTTATTTTAAAGAAAGGAGGAATTGTGGTATCTACGGAAGTTGAGTTGACCTTTTGACCTGTGATTGAATATCATTAAAGTTAGTTGTTAGAGTACCTTACCACCGTGTGTGAGTCGTTGATTGTGCTCCTGTTTTTAATCCGTTATTTAGTGATTCAATCCGTATACAATACACTACAATCCTTTATTTTAGTTTAGAAGCCCACTGCCGTACTGTAAATTGTTAAGCCTTCCTAAGCTGTTTTTATATATTTCGAATGGGAGAACACTTTCATTTGTTTTTGCTCTGCCTATGGTACACTGTTCAACAACTAGATTTGTATCAAGATTTATAGTTAGATATCTTAGCTAAAACATTTTCGAATGATTAGATTCTGTGTTAGTAGCAATTACTTAAATTACTACTACTGTACTAATTTACTGGTTCGTAATATCCTGTCCATGTGAAGAACTAAAATTAAAAGCAAATAATAAAATAAAAGTAATAATCATGTAATAAAATTTCCATAATGAGTAAAGAAAAAACTCATCCCTGGGCCATAAAAATTCAATTGTATATAGAAGATAACAATTCACATGTTAAGATTGTAATGCAAGCTGGTATAAGACACCGAGTTTGGGTAGGTCTAAGGGCAACCTATTCAGATTAAAAAAAAAAATGTTAATCAACTACTATCAACCAACATTAATATTTTGGCTAAACCGAAACTTTTTAATCAAGGTATTTTAAGGCTTTACTTTAAAGGAAATAGCACATATGGCTATTTGCGACCTGTTATATTTCCCGTCCGATTTCTCGACCATGTGGTTTTTGTTTTTATTGCCGGCTATCTTCCTCTACTTGTTTATCATCTGATTTTGTTTTCATCATTTGATTGCCATTATAACAATACATAAAATTGTCTTAAATATGTGTCCGAGCATTATTAAACGTTTATATCATTCTGAATCAGTAGGCCTAGTATTGAAAAAAAAAATAATGCAATGCTACTTCTTCTCTTGGGAATCGAAGTCTATTAATTCTTTACACTACTCTCGGCACAGAAAGTATACACGTCCTGTGTGCTATTACTCGAACCACCTTGCATGTTTTTGTATTTCACTTGCATGTGACGGTGATATTCAACCAAATCCTGGCTCCGCTCATGATGACGGACATGATCGTAAGAATATTTCAATTTTATATTTGAATGCTAGAAGTATCGCTAACAAGTTAAATGACCTCAAAACTACCCTTAGTGTTGATAAACCGCAAGTTCTAATTGTCACAGAAACGTGGGTTGACTCAACAATTTTGGACGCTGAAATAGTCAACTCGGATTACAGCATCTTTAGACAAGACAGGAATAGACACGGAGGTGGAGTGCTTATTGCAATAAGAAATGAAATCCGACCATAAATTGCATCCCATCTTGGGAGTGACAACATCGAACTCATTTGGACTGTTATTCATCACAAAAAGTCCCTGGTTGGTCTTTACAGACCACCAAATTCCAAGGCTAATTTCTTTGATCACTTACAATCAAACATCGATAATGTTTTTTGTGAGATTAATTTGTATCACAGTGTTATATTAGCTGGAGACTTTAACATTGATGTCTCTTATACAGTTTATGATCACTTACAAAATAGATTATCCTCTATATTAGATTGTCTTAATATGACTCAAATGGTTTTGTTCATTGTGAATCGCATTCTCTTTTGTTTAAATTAATACTCGCAATACTGATATTTTTATTTATTCCTGTTTCTCTTTCGGTTTGGAGAGCCACTTGACAGTATTTTAGTATACTCTTGGTTATCCTGTCTTCCCGAGTTTGAAACTGTTTTGTGTGTTCAATTAATTAGACAAAATAAATGAAATTAAATGAAACCGGGCATTCACTGTTCACGACGTCGTTGGCCGACACGATTCTATAAAGCTGAATGATCCCAAGGTCCTGGGTTCAACTCCTGTCACAGCAGGACTTCTTTCTCACGACAAAAACAACTCCACTCCCTAAGCCTCATAAAGAAACTTGGTTTATAAAATATCATTCTCATCCTATAAGTGTCGAGTCTATTTGCTGTTTGATGTGAAGGGAAAAAAAAAAACCAGAAAAAAGAACGCAACGCGACGACGCGCGCTAAAGATCGTCTTTAATGACGGTCCGTTCAGAGTGCCACCGACAATCAGCAGACGGCATCCCGTAGTTTAGCGCTCACAGGGAGCGGAGTTGGATTCGTCATGTGACCGTCGTACGGCGCAGCGAGTACCGGCTTGCGAATTTTTTCCCGTACGAAACGTTTACATGAAACTCCACTCGACTAAATCTGAGGACTAAATCAACTCGAAAATCTCCTATTGCAGAATTCAGGAGGTCCAAAAGTCATCAACAGACGTCTACAAAACAACTTCTGAGAAAACGTCGCTGTCTGATTTTTAAAAATACATTGATGTTACCATGCTAATACTAATTGGTCGTTAAAAATGACATATAATATTTGATTGAGCTGCACGATTAATGAAAAGTGTTATTTGAACTTGAGTTACATACTGTGACAATTTTTATTTTTTAGTTAGGTCTGGGTTTTGCATAATTACCTAGGCCTACTAACTACTAAAAACTACACGCTTTTAGGGGAAAGCAGAAAGAGGAAGGAAAAGCGCGTTTCTTCATCAAATGATGAAACAAGGGTGACAGTTATTTTCAATTTAAAAGAAGAGCTGAGAATAGGCAGCGCTAAAACACTGGATGCCATAAGACCTGACAGAGCACCAATGAATGTATAAATGAGACCTAAGCCTAGTTATTAATATTAGACATAGTAAATAGTATCTGCAGGGTCTTGATTGCAAGGCTTAGACCAAGTTAATTAATGCCGAAATAATAAAAATAATAACAATAATAATAAATAATAATAATAATAATAATTATTATTATTATTGATATTATTATTATTATTGTTGTTATTCAATATTAATTACATTACAAGGATAGTTTGGCCAAGTTCAATAATGTCAAAATTATTTTATTTATTATTATTATTAATATAGGCCTATTTCACTTATGCACAATTTTTTATTCCATGCTTCAATTTTTCCCCAATTTTTTTCAAAATTTCAATCAACGTCATTTCAAACGTGACTGTTGGTGTCAGCCTAGGACCCTAGGGACTTTTAGGCCTAGCTAGGGAGGGGCCTAGGTAGGGCAACTCAGCCTGTAGTTAGGCCTATACTTTATCCTCTTTCTCTCTAGCCTTTGGTATTACTGTACCTATCTACACTTTATAAAAGGGGGTACTAGCTTTTGTTGTTGTAGATATTACACTAACATGTAATACAAACAAGAAGGTCACAGTTAGTTACACACGTACACCCCATTAATCAGTAAGATTTCATAGGCCTACCGTAGGTGAACATAGATAGAGCAATAATAGTAGAACCCGAGCGTCACGACATTGCGAAGTGTTTGCTCTTGTTTCTCGTATCGAACTCGAACCGAGTCAATCCGAGATGGCCCGTGTTAAGTTTCATGCAAATGTTTCGTACGGAAAAAATCGCTGCCGGCTTAACGGTTTTGGTGCTTTGCACGCTATTCCCTTTTTTCGGTTTTGGCCAAGATGGGCGCGGCGGGCAATAATGCATTTATATGACCGTATCTCATTAAATTGTGGACCGATTAGGTAGATATTGGTGTCGTTGGAAAGGGAACTGAATTAACTACCGTATTCAAGCCATGCATTCCTTTTGCATATAGACTCCATTTAAACATTGATTACCTGTTGTATTTGCTTTGACCTTGGATTTGACCTTGTGGATCAATGATCTGGAGTAAACTTTGATAAAATTGTTACCCTACATGGTATCTACATAATATCAAAAAATTAGAAATATAATATTTTTTGTTTTTTTTCTAGCTTTTCGCAAATTTAGCATATATGCAAAAATCAAGTTATTCTTTGCAAAAAAAAAAAAAATAAATAAATAAAATAAAATAAAATAAAACAGTATCTATTCATTTTATTTTTTTAAATAAAAACTGTTTTCCCTTCAGGTTATGTTTATATAATACACGCTTAAGACACCTAATTTATATACTGTTTGCATTTATTTACAAGAATTTCACTGTTGGAAGAACATTGAAAATAGATTATCATTACCATAATGCACATTTTAGAAATTTTATATCCTTATTACCTCCGCCAACGAAGTTGGCATGAGGTTTTGTTTTTACCTGTTTATTTATTTAGTTATTTATTTGTCTGTCGGCATACTTGTTGTGAACAGCCTACAGCCCATAGTTTTTATCAGAAATTCATCAAACTTGGCCACAAAGTTCCCTTTCCTAAGATCTAGAGCTGACTGACTTTCTTAGTGTCAAGTTCAAATGTCAAGTTGACAATCAACGAAAAACTATTTTTTTGTTGTATTTATTTGCC